GTAGCACAACGATTTTGGTTATCTTCCCGTCAAACGAAAGCAATGTTCATACAGATACTTACTATAAAGCACATTTAAGTAGTCAGGAATAACTTTCCAAATGGTATTGACCATTTCACCACTTATACCACCTTTTCGTTCATATTTGAGATATCCCATACCCAACTTCATGCATTTCTAACTTCGGAGGAGCAGACACCAGCTCTGCTGATAAGCAGTTCTCAGAAGGGTTTCATTCAGACTGCAAAGGCGCCTGGGTCTTTATAACATCCTCCCGAGCTACCGGACGGCCCAACGCATCTGTTTCAGATTAGAAGTCCACCATTTAACTGCTCTACGATTAACCCTTCTGACTATGGGGAAGGAGAAAGTCATTGACTTCCCATAAGCATTCATTGATATAAATTGGCTTCCGCCGGAAAATATCACATGGTATTCTAGATATCCTTCCCTTGACAAGAATTCCGTAGGAATTCCAGTCAACACCAGACCACCACCTTTTAATGTCAGATGTCAGGAATTCCTTTATTTGGACAGCAGACATCCCAATTTTAATTAATTGGTGAAATTAATGAATGGCTACACCCATTCATTATTTTCTAAGTGATTTCAAGCAACCCCAAAGCTACCCGATTTGCGAGCGTCAAAACTATGTCACTAACACCAGCTGGACCATTGTTTGTTAATTCTAAATAGGGCACGTTAGCAATATGTACTCTCGCGGAGACGCACCAGTCCGCTAGCAGCTCACCCCATGTCTTGTTTCCACGGCCAACATGAATGGGCAATTTCCGAAAACCGATGTATGAGGAAGCATTAGTATCGAGACTTAGGATAACTGGCGTGCCACTTGCAAACAACAGAACAGAGTCCATGTATCTCATATCTCAAAGGCCCAAATCTCCGCTAAATCTACAATAAAGACTAACAAGGAAAAACCTCCCTTGCGGTTCATCAACACAGACCTATATGCCGTAATCAGAGGAACCGACTAACATGCAATGGGCACGGGCATCATTGACAATAACAGCAAGGAAGCAGCTGTCATCCGGAAGCAGGCATGGCCGTTTATTTAAGAAATG